GGCAGGCACAACCATGTCCTACCAAGTGGACGACGGGGCAAGAAAAAAAAAAAAAAAAAAAAAGGGGGGGGAAACGAGGAGAAGAAGAGACATGCGTTGACATGCGTTAACATCACCGACACATTCGTTGACATTTCATTCAATTGTTCATTCTCTTCACACCTTCGATCAATGGTTGCCCGTACAAGTACATGCACACGCATGCTTTAACGTGGAATACTCAAAGCTTATACCACTTGGCCTCAAATGTACAGGAGCACGACGGTGCGAGGCGGCATGCCACGACGATCCGTACGAATTTGCCGTTACAGACAGAACTATTACACACATGCGCGGTCGTCTTCGCGCAACATTTGCGTGGTGGAGCTCATGGTGCCCCAGCAGCCTTGTCCTCTCCGTCATCGCCAAGGGTTACTGGTTGCCATGGAGCCACGGCCCACCGCAACATTTCCACGATCGCAATCATGTCGGGGCAAACACGCATGCCACGTTCACACGTACCGCCATCCAAGAACTCATAGAGACGGGAGCGGCAATTCCGATGGCCGCAACGGAGCTTACATGCATAAGTCCACTCAACGTGGTCGAGCAAAAAGACAAATGCAGGCTCATTCTTGATCTGAGGAAAGTCAACGCCAACTTGATCATCCCCAAGTTCAAGTACGAAGGGCTCAACCGCGTCGCCGACCTTGCGCGCGTTGGGGACTGGATGTTCTCCATTGACCTCAAATCTGGTTACCACCACATCGACATCCACCCATCGTGCTGGAAGTTCCTTGGCTTTGAATTTGATAAGCGCACATACGCATTCCGTTCACTACCATTTGGCCTCGCGACAGCTCCATTCGTTTTCACGCAGCTCATCAAGCAACTAGCTCGGCGTTGGCGAGAACAAGGCATCCGAGTCGTACCTTACGTGGACGACATCTTATTTCTCTGCCAGTCGAAAGAGGACGCGCAAGCAACTTGCCAGCGGGTGATATTGGATCTTAAAGAGGCAGGCCTTGAGATAAACGCGAAGAAATCACAACTGTCACCATCGCAGCGTCTCCGATTCCTGGGCGTAGAACTCGAGACCGATACCGGCCGATTCTCCATCGGTCCGGACCGACGAGCCTCACTACATGCAACCATCCGGAACCTCCTGAGCGCAAGCAAGGCATGCCGACGAGTCCCGGTCCGCCACGTGGCCAGAATCACTGGCATGCTCGCATCGATGGGTGTCGCACTTGGCGCGACAGCTCGCGCATTCAGCCATGCTATGTTACAAGTGATCGACGACGCACCGTCATGGAAAAGCAGCGTCGTTATCCCCCCATCTGCAGCAGAAGAGCTCCAATTTTGGCTCGAGGAGTTCGACCGTTTCAACGGCGCACCTTTTCACGTCAAGAACAGCTACGACGCGGTAATCCACGTGGATGCCAGCTCTCATGGTTGGGGCGCCACTCTGACCACATTTCCGGGCGGCATCGAAGAAGCTAGCGCAACCATGTCAGAGCCGCTACGAGGAACGTCCAGCACACGACGGGAGATCGAAGGCGTCCTTTGGGCGCTACAAACGTACGCGAACAAGATCAAGCAAAAACACGTTCTCGTGCGGTTGGACAACCAGGGCGTATTCTTCATCCTTCGCAAAGGCGGCTCTCACAGCCCCGACCTCACAACGGCATGCAAGAGCATCATCCGAACATGCATGGCGCTTGGCACGCGCTTGATCATTGAATGGATTCCGCGCGAGCTCAACACACACGCCGACTAGCTTTCAAAAATGGTCGACCACGACGATTACGCGCTGAAAACGCCGTGGTTCCGGATCTTGGAACGTCGTTGGGGTCCTCACTCCATCGACCTTTTCGCAAACTCCCGCAACACCCAACTGCCGCGCTTCTGTTCAAAGATTCCCCACCCGGCAGCCATTGCAGTTGATGCGTTCTCGATCGCGTGGACACCTGAAAACAACTTCGCCTTCCCCCCACCTCAACTGGTCCCAGCCGTTCTCCATCACGCACAACGCACCCATGCATCACTCACACTGATAGTTCCGCACTGGCCAGGCGCAAGCTGGTGGCCACTCTTGCAACCCTCCCCACGCACTTGGGCACCACACATCCACGCGCACATCCCTCTGACACACGGAAGCCAATGCCTAGACGTAGGGTCCCATTCAACTGCTTTTTCGGGCATGGGACTACCGCACAGCCCAATCATTGCACTGCGAGTGGCATTTGACTAATTCAAAATATATACACCTTGTGTTCAGATTTGCTCCCAAAGTTACACGACCAACTGATCAACATGCTCGCGCAGTCCCGCGCCGATTCTACGATCCGGACATATGAACCATACTGGGCCAAGTTTCGAGCCTTCTGCACAAAAGTGAACCTTCCATTCCTCCCGGCATCCGACATGACCCTCGCGCTATACCTGGTACACGCAATCCGACGCAAAGCCACCCTGTCCGTAGTGCAGCTAACCTGCTCGGCGGTCAGCTTCGCCCATCGCATGACCGGGAGCAAATGCCCGACAACCGGACCGTTCACCACCCAAGTCCGTGACTATGCAAAGCGACACTGCCCACGCCCTACTCGTCTGAAGGAACCCGTCTCGATCCAACAAGTCCAGGAAATGGCCGCGAGCTACTTGCAGTCCGACGATCCTGCGCAATTTCAGAAAGGGTTGATACCCATCCTCATGTACTCCGGATTCCTGCGATACTCTGACCTAGTAGCCATAAAATGGCAAGACATCCAATTCGACGACGAGGTCATGTGGATTCTCATACCACACTCCAAGACCGATCAAGCTGGTCACGGCACTTGGATACCCATTGCAGCAACGGCGGACCCCTGCTGCCCAGTGCGCTGCACCCGACGCTTCATCCGACTCGCTGGCTATGGCCCACGGTCAGAGGGACCATTGATTCGTGTCTTCGGTCACGGTTCAACCAGAGAGGGCCAGGCTAGGCCACCTTCATACACTACGATCCGGAACTGGTGCAAGGAAGCCTTCGCAAAGGTTGGCCTTGGAGAGTTGCAGATAGGCACCCATTCTTTCCGAAAAGGTGCAGCCACAGTAGCAGCCAACACGGGAGTGCCAAACAGAGTCTTCAAACGGCTGGGCAGATGGCGAAGCGACACAGCAAAGGAAATGTATGTTACGCCATACGTCGAGCCCCTCATCGAAGCCTCCCGTACCCTACAAGATTCGACGCATGCGGTGTCATCGGCGCAACACACAGAGGCACTCGTACGCAACCGGAGGCCCCCGCTGCCCATGTCTCAGAGACCCCATTTGTAATGAGAACGATGCCAATTGATAAGAAAGAAAGCAAGCTTTCTCAATATTATAATTTTTAAACACACATGTAGTGTTTTTTAAAATTGTGTATTGTGAAAGCGAAGCTGCTTGTACTGCACAATTGGCATCGTCGAAGCGCGCTAAACGCCCTTCTCCAACTACAAAAACCGTGGGTTGGAGCTCATTTCCCTCCACCCACGTTTCTCAATTTTCAAACGGCTCACTCAACATTCCCACCACCCACCCCAGTGTAAACCGCCTTGCTAATGCCACTTGGATAGGGTACATAATAGCTAGTGTTATTAGTCCGCACTAGCTTATGTCGAACGATGATGCAAATGTTGTAAGTACCCATTTGTAATGAGAACGATGCCAATTGATAAGAAAGAAAGCAAGCTTTCTCAATTTGTGGTCTATATATACCTGCACCTGCTTGCTTACCTTTGCTAGATTGAGATCAATGTCTTGCTTGTTCACCTTGATTTATAATCTTGTATATGAACTGGCCTTGTGACCTTGAACTTGTGCTCAGAATGTGTGGTGACGTTGTGATCCACCCTGAGCTTGACGTTGTCTTGTTCTCTTGCTTGTCCCCCACTTTGATTATGGGGGTGTGTCAGAACTATATTGTAGGCTGTAGTGGGGTAGACAATATGGGGTACAATACTTTTAAATTTTCATACTTGTACCCACCTCATTCTTAGCTTATTCATTCCTCGTACATTTCTCACATTGCGAACATCATTGGTCATCGGTGCTTGCGAATGAAGAACGTTCGCTGCACTTCCAGCACATGTGCGGATCCTTCCGCTTTTTAGGGGTGGAAGCGCTTGTTCCTGACGTTTTTCTTTCGCCGGGTCATGTGGCTGCGCTCGTCTGGTCCTATTAAAAAACAAACAAACAAACAAACAAGCAAACAACCAAAAAAGCCCTCACTACAGTTCAACTAGTCTGCACTATGTTAGCCTCTCATTTTAGCTTGTAAAGCATCAGTTTTACTAAGTACACACTTATACAACTGTGCATATAAGGCCGCCAGCGTGAGTTTGACTTATTGTAAGCATGGCCCAACAACAATCGAGGATTGCTTGGGCTCGTGGAAAAAGGTTGCAAGGCGTGCGATGTGATACGAAAAACTTGCAAGGAGCAAGGATGAAGACGAAGGAGGGAGAGAGGAAAAAAGTGAGGGGGGAACGGCAAAAAGAGGGGAGGGGAGCGGATGGGAGCAGTGTATCAGTTGAGGAGTAAGCTGATCGAGCAGAGAAACTAACAGTTGAGGAACAGGCATGTGCAGTGCACGAAGGCAGTTGTGAAGGGGCCAACACAGGCAGGTGGAAGGAAAGAAACCCTGGTAGCATCTCCCTGGAAGCATCTAATCCTGGGTAGCATCTAATCCCTGGTAGCATCTAATGCCTGGTAGCATCTAATCCCTGGTAGCATCTAAGGGCGTATTCCTGAGCTCGTGTCATCCGGTGTTGGTGTCATCCGAAAACTTTGGAACGCACGCGATTGGCCCAAAACTTACAACGGGCCAATCACGTGCGTTCCAAAGTTTTCGGATGACACCAACACCGGATGACACGAGCTCAGGAATACGCCCTAATCCTGGTAGCATCTAATCCCTGGCTTGGACTGCATGTGGTGATGCACATGGCTGCATCATTTTGAAGCCCATGGCTCCTTCACTATAACGCCCAGGTGTCTCATCCAAAAGGCCCCAAAGTGTGTCCCGTGAATGCGCGCATTGCCCTCACCCTGAATCCAGCCAGCCACATGCGCGTGCACAGAGCCCAACCTGCCACTGCTGCTGCCGCGCCTGCAGCTGGTGCTCCGGGAGCCAATCCCAGCCCGCCAAGTGTCATGAGGGCGTGGCGGCGCACAAGCAGGGGAGTGCCGTCCACGTAGCCTGTGAGGCGCCTCCCTGCCTCCTCTCTGCCCCCTGCCGCCCCCTTGCCTGCATCACCACTCCCACTCAGACCCGCCCCGTCCTTTCCCTCCTTGCCCACCACACCCCACTGCGCCATTGCTGCCACCACTGCCCCACCACCCACCTCCCCCTCCAATTCTCCTTGCCTGCCCTCCCCCTCCTCCTCTGCCCTCCCCACGCCCCTCTCCACTCTGCTTGTCCGCACGCCCACCACCCCCATGCGCCCATCCTCGGCCATCCCTGCAGTCAGCTGCTCCACCCACTTGCACCCCTCCTCGCCCTCCCCATGCATCACAGCTGGCAGGTCTCGCCACGTCAGCAGGAGCAGCAGGCGGCCAGTGGCAGCGCGGGCCAGCAGCTCGAACCCCTCCCACTCCGCCATCGGTGCCATCCCCACTGCACGCGCACCGCCCTCCGCCGCCTCGCCACCACCACCCTCTGCGCCGCTCACCTCCGTGGCAGCACCATGAGCATGCGGCGCCACGAGCGGCAGTACGAGCATGAGCTGCGGGTCAATGCTGCGACCAGCCGCTTGCCACGCCTCCACCCCACCTGCCTGCTGCCCCTCACCCCATTGCTCGTCGCTTGGCTTCCCCTCGCCCTGCTCGTCGCCCTGCTGCCCTGCGTGTGTGCTGTCAGGTGGGAGCAGCAGCAGCAGCTCCGCCAGGGGAGGGCCCATGCGAGGAGCGGAAGGAGAAGTTTCATCATCAGGGGTGGGGTTGGGTGGTGATGTTGCTGCTGCTGCTGCTGGCTGCATGCGAGGCAGTGTGGAGGCGCAGGCATGAAGACGCTGAACCACCTGCTCTGGTGCCACTGCTGCCACCGCAGGCTGCGCTGCTCCTGGATCTGCCAGCAGCAGAAAGGAGATCTCGGGAGCATCCCTTTCCCCCTCGCCTGCTGCACTGCCTGCATTCACCCCCCCTCCTCTCTTGCTTGCAGCACCACCCTCCACCCCAGCTGCTCCTTGCTCGCCATCCCACAAGCCGCCGCGCCACCAGATGTGAGGCGGTGCAGCGAGGGCAGCAGTGAGGCGGTGAGAGGGGCGAGCCTCTCCCCACGCCACACACCACTTGTCAAACGCTGCCCCCGCCACCGCTCTGTACCGCTGCAGCTCGCTGTCGTGCCGCTCCTCCCACACCGTGCCCCCCGCCTTCACGCCACACCGCAGCCACAGCCGCCGCTCAGACCACTCCAAGGCTGACTGGGCCGCCGCTAGGCTGGCAGAGGCGGCTTGGAGGCGTGCTGACGTGGCGTCGATGAGGGATTGCAGGCGAGGGGCGAGTGGGTGGGTGGCGTTGGGGGAGAGGAGGGCGGCGAGGGGCAGCGAGAAGAGCGAGGCGAGCGGGCGCAGGTAGAGCAGCAGGCGGTGGAAAGAGTCCACGTGCGCTGGCCGGGGTGGGGGAGGTGCGGCATGTGGGCACGGGGGTAGCATGGTGCAGGGGGGGTATGGGAAGGGAAGAATGACGACTGGGGAAGAACCTGGCATGTGACAAGGGATGTCAGATGGGGCTGACTGAAACACACAAGGACAGGTACGCCCACCTGAATAACGCACACGACCAGTGCATCTGTGCATGGGTGCAGATGTGCATGGGTGCAGAAGTGCATATGTGCAGATGTGCATGGGTGCATGGGTGCAAGGGTGGATGGGAGCATGTGTGCACATGTGCATGCATGTAAGGCAGCAGCGCACGGGCATCAGAGGGCGAGGCAGTGAGGTTGGCCTCCACATCCCCCACTGTCACCACTGTGCCGGCGCGCACCGCCTCCCCCGCCACGCTGCCTGCGCCCTCGCCCTCGCCCCACTGCTGCTGCCGCTGCAGCACCGCCCACGCCTTGCCCGCCCTCTGCTCCGCCTCCACTCGCGCCCGCGCTGCCATAACGGGGTACGAGGGCAACGCGCACGGGGCATGGGGTATGGGGCGAGAGAGGAATGAGGGGGAATGGGAGGGCGAGAAGTGGAGAAGGGAGGGACAGGACGGAGTGCAGTGTACAGAGCACGTGCTGCATGCATGCATGCCTGTCATGCCACCACTGCCACACGCACATGCCACCACTGCCACACGCACATGCCACCACTGCCACACGCACATGCCACCACTGCCACACGCACATGCCACCACTGCCACACGCACATGCCACCACTGCCACACGCACATGCCACCACTGCCACACGCACATGCCACCACTGCCACACGCACATGCCACCACTGCCACACGCACATGCCACCACTGCCACACGCACATGCCACCACTGCCACACGCACATGCCACCACTGCCACACGCACATGCCACCACTGCCACACGCACATGCCACCACTGCCACACGCACATGCCACCACTGCCACACGCACATGCCACCACTGCCACACGCACATGCCACCACTGCCACACGCACATGCCACCACTGCCACACGCACATGCCACCACTGCCACACGCACATGCCACCACTGCCACACGCACATGCCACCACTGCCACACGCACATGCCACCACTGCCACACGCACATGCCACCACTGCCACACGCACATGCCACCACTGCCACACGCACATGCCACCACTGCCACACGCACATGCCACCACTGCCACACGCACATGCCACCACTGCCACACGCACATGCCACCACTGCCACACGCACATGCCACCACTGCCACACGCACATGCCACCACTGCCACACGCACATGCCACCACTGCCACACGCACATGCCACCACTGCCACACGCACATGCCACCACTGCCACACGCACATGCCACCACTGCCACACGCACATGCCACCACTGCCACACGCACATGCCACCACTGCCACACGCACATGCCACCACTGCCACACGCACATGCCACCACTGCCACACGCACATGCCACCACTGCCACACGCACATGCCACCACTGCCACACGCACATGCCACCACTGCCACACGCACATGCCACCACTGCCACACGCACATGCCACCACTGCCACACGCACATGCCACCACTGCCACACGCACATGCCACCACTGCCACACGCACATGCCACCACTGCCACACGCACATGCCACCACTGCCACACGCACATGCCACCACTGCCACACGCACATGCCACCACTGCCACACGCACATGCCACCACTGCCACACGCACATGCCACCACTGCCACACGCACATGCCACCACTGCCACACGCACATGCCAGCCTTCCTTCTGCCACACGTGGTTTCCCACGGTCATCCCCCAAGCCAGCCCAGCCCGCCCTGTGTGTTGGGACCCTCAACGCACCTGCAGCGACTGCCCGCTGCTGTCTCTCCACCGCACACTGCAGCACCATGCACCGCCTCATCCCTTCCCCCCCACCGCCCCATATCTCCCCATCCGCTGCAACCTTCCCCTGCCCCTCTCCTGCGCTCGCCCCTGCTGCACCATGCCCCATGCGCCCCCCCACGCGCCCAGCCGCCTGTGCCTGGCTGACAAGGGAGGGCAAGTCCGCCGTCGGCCCTCCCCCCGCTGCCACTGCACCAAGCAGCGCATGCTCTGCTGTCTGCAATGCGCCTGCTGCGGCGCCTGCTGCCTGCCCCTCCGCGCCTGCCTTGCTTGCCTCCCCCTGCCTCGCCCTCACTGCCTCTGCCAGCGCCGCCATGGATTCCGGTTGCACCAATGACACGGTGCCATGTGGCATGAGACGCTCCCTCTCCAGCTCCTGGAGCAAGGCAGTAGCACAGGGCGAGAGAGAAGTTGGTGACGGGAACGAGATGACTCAAGTGCTCCGCTCATACCACGCATCCCCTTTCATCACGCTCCCTTAAACAGCCACCATTCCCCTTTCAGCCCTCCAATAAAAATCTGTAATTTTGAGCCAGGTGACTCAAAAGCTATCCCCTTGCCCTGCCTCCCCCCGGCCGCGCATCACCTGCAGGGCGGCAGTGAGCACGGCGTGCATGCCCCTCTCGTCCTCCTCCGCCACTGCCACCGCCTGCCGCTGCTGCCGCATCAGCTGCCCGTTCGCCTCCACCAGCGCGCGCACTGCTGGGTGCCTGCCAGGGGGCGCGCATGCAGATGCAGGGCGACGAGGGACGGGAAGCATCTGTGGCGCGCTAACAGCGTGCATGGTGCGTGCTGAGTGCCTGCTGAGGGTATTGGCAGAGAAGGGGGGAAGAGCGTGCAGGGCCAGGAGGTGGGCGAGGGGACGAGAGGTGCGTGCGGGTAGCAGGCGTGCGTGACACCCACCTGCCTTGTGTGACACCCACCTGCCTTGCGTGACACCCACCTGCCTTGCGTGACACCCACCTGCCTTGCGTGACACCCACCTGCCTTGCGTGACACCCACCTGCCTTGCGTGACACCCACCTGCCTTGCAGATGACGCATGGCAGCATCTCCTGCCCACACCTCTGCTCCCTCCGTGTCACCATCGCTCTCACCCGCACCACCACCACTGGCAGCTGCACCGCCGGAGTCAAGGGCAGCGAGGGGAGCCAAGGGCAGTGCGCCGCTCGCAGCAGTGGCAGGCGGGTGGGGCACCACAGGCTGCTCCCACGATGCTGCCGCTCCCCCCTGCCACGCCCCTTGCCCCTCCTGCCACGTGTCCGCGTGTGATTGCAGCAGGAGCTCCTCGTCTCCCCCCTGCGCGTCCAGCGGCGCGAGTGCGAGGGGCAGCAGCAGCAGCGAGCACGCCACGGCGCCCACCACGGCGCCCAGGGCGAACGGCGCCGCCCACGCGCACGCCGCACTGCTAGAGGGGTCGGGCACGCGCGCACGTGGAGGGGGGTAGTTGAGGGGAGAGCATATGCGCACGGGTGTGGGACAAAGCGGGCGCGCGCCTGGTGCGTACCTCAACCAGGGGCGGGGCTCGGCGGATGCCCCGGCGGCAGCGGGCGCGCCAGTGGCGGCGGTGGATCGATGCGGGTAGAAGTCGCCTGGAGAGGTCGCAGGGAGTGGGGTGGCGGGGAGAGGGGTGGCAGGAATTGGGTGGCAGGGTGACGCTTGCGGAATGCGGTGGAAGGCGAAGAGGATGGGGGGAAGAGAAGGAGGGAGGCTGACTGATGTGATCCATGGGGGATGGTACACACGCATTCGCGTCTGGGGGATCACAACAGTACGGGAGGTCGTTTCCCGAGACGCTTACGCGGTGTGACGTGGAAGCGCATTGTCGCCCGCGCATTAGTGGCTCGAGGTTTCTATGAACGCATTGTTGGGAATCGGTAACGATCTAGGCACACGCGGAGAGGCGCAGACGGAGAAGCGGCGGAGCAGAAGAGCGTTCGTGAAGAATTTGAGTGCTTGTACAAGGCGGTGGGGGAGGAGCTTCAACGGAGGACGAACACTCGGTGAAAATGGCGGCACGCGGAACACACCACATGCACGACGCTCACAAGCAGTAACCAACCCACCTTTCCGCTCTTGCTCTGTTATGATTTACCGTGTACTCGTGTCGAGCAGTCAACTCGTTGCCTGCCTCACATGGTGTGAAAAAATCATTATACAATTTGGGTAAGTCCAAAATGTGTGCTATCCATCAGCTTCCTAGTGGCTACCGGTATTTGGTAATTCAAAAAATCTCCCCAAGGCTATGTGGCGGCAGCCTTCTTTTTCTTCTTTGGTTTCTCAGCACTGGCTGCTGCTGCCTCCCCTGCAGCCGCATCCTTCACCTTCTTCTTGCTCTTCTTGCTACTGCCTGGCATCTCCCCATCCGCCTCCGCTGCTGCCTTTTTCTTCTTCTTCTTTGGCGTCCCCTCTGCTGCACCCCCTGCTGCTGCCTCTCCCTCTGCCAGCACGCAACAGCCACAGCAGTACAAGAATACAAGAATGCAAGGACGGGTTGAGCAAACCAGCACATGGCAAGGCATGGGTTGAGGTGACGATGTGCCAAGCAACTCAAGTGTGCTGCACTGGGTTCATCGCATGTACCAGGTGAGCACCCAAGTCATCAAATGTTGCCCACCAACAACCCTGCCACCGTGTCATGAGGACACACCCGGGAGGGGAGCCCACCTGCAGGGCGCTTGGAGCCGACATCAGCGTCGGCCTGCGCCTCGGCCTTGGCGGCGGAGATGGCGGCCTTCATGACGTCGAGGTTGCGCTTGGGCGCCACGCCCTTGTCGTAGAACTCGAGGCGGTCCTCCACCTGCTGCTTCAACTTCTCCCCAAACACACTCGTCGATGCCTCTGCGAGCACAGCAGCACCCGTGGCACAAGTGGGAGGAGGGGACAAGAGTGAGAGAGGAACAGATGAGTTGGTGGGCAGCCAGAGCACAGCAGGCCAGCTGACAACTGTGGCTTGCAGAAACGAGGGGGGGGGGGGTGGCAGCATCACCACAAGAATTAATGAGAATGGGTGGGCGGCACCTGAGAAGCAGTCGATGCGCGAGGCCATGGAGCACTTGTTGGCGAGGTAGCGGCTGATGCGCCCCTTGTTCTTGGCGGACGCGCGGCCGATGAACGACGAGTGGAAGATGAGCCCGTACTTGGGCGTGTTGCCCTTCGTCTTCAGCGCCCTGCCCAGAGGGGGAGGTGGGGGGAATAATTTCGGAACAGGTTTGAATTGTGAGATGAGGGATGGGGGGGGCGGCCGGAAGGAGAGGGGGAGAGGTGTGTGGGAGGAGAATTATGGTAGAAACGGGAGCATGTGAGGGTACATTGGGCGCATTGCCAAGGGGGGTGCCTGCCTGGTGCGTGCAGGGCGGGTGCGTACCTGAAGAGCGCCTTTTCGGCGCCGAGGATCTGCACGGTGCTGGCGGGGTACTTGGCGAGGTTGGTCAGGCTGCCCGCGTGCGAGATGAGGCGCGCGCCCACCATCTCGCCGATCAGCGCGGCGAGGTTGGGCGCCACGTCGTGCATCTTGGCGGACAGGTACGAGTGCAGGTCGCGCCGGTACTCCACCAGCGCCACCACGCGCGACGCGAACGCCTCTATGTTGATCAGGTCGATCGGCGAGATGTCCTGGCCTGTGGGGGGGGTAGCAGGGGGGAGGGGGAGAGGGGGGTAACGAAGGAGGGTAAGGGGGCAGCGCAGGGCGGAGGTTGGGGGACGCTGAGAGGGAGCGGGGAGGGCGGTGAGGTTGAGGAGGAGGGGAGCGGAAGGGAGCTGCATGGATGGATGGGGCGGGGGAAAGCGCGGAGGGGGCGAGGGGAGTACGCAAGGAACCTGGCGCTCGAACGCGAATGCAGCAAATTTCAAATCGCCGCCCCACCAGCAAACTCTCACGCCAACACCACTGCCTAAACCCCTGCCCCGCACTTCCCCACCCCCACCCTCCCTCCTGCTGCCTCTGCAACCCTCCTCGCTCCTCTGCTTACGCGCCCCATCTCTCGCCGCGATGCCCTGCGTACCCCCCTGCCTGCCCCCAGCCAGCAACAGAACATCCCTCCCTTTCGCCTTCCTCCCCACGCCCCCGGCCCCGCACGGACCCATGCTGGCCTTGGCGGCGTCGAGCACCTCCTTGGCCTTGTCCTCGTCGCCGATGATCTCCGTCAGCTCCGCCACCGCCTCCTCCGTCAACGTCGCCTTATCCTTCACGCGCCGCGCCACGCGCGCGTACGTGTAGTTGTCCGTCACGATGCGCGCGAGCTCGGGGAAGTGCCACGAGTACCACTCCCTGCGCCGCCACGCAGACAAGGGCACACACAAGTGCGCACAGACACGCGATGAGAGGGGCTGCAGGGGGAATTGACGCGAGAGGAGCATCTCAAGGTTCCGGGGATTTGGGCGCTCCGCGTCTCGCGTGGCTCAAACAAGCACATCCAGCCAAAGACGCCGCAACTGCACGGCGAATGCGCACGGGGCGAGCGGGAAGGTGGAACGTTGAAGTCACCTGACGCGCATGCAGAAGGTGTTGACGTCTTTGTCGAGCGTGTCGAGCAGCGAGATGGCCTGGATGATCATGTTGTCGACGCGGTTCACGTTGAACTTCACCTTGCTGCGGCTGTAGCTGTGCCCCAACCCCAGCTGCGCCTTCGCCACGTCGCCCTCCTTCAGCTCCTTCACGAACCGCGCGAAGTGCAGCCGCACGCCGCGCATGAGCTCCATGACGAGGTCGTTGCTGACGCACGGCACGCCCGCCGTCTCCTGAATGGCGGAGCCGAGCTTCGACTCCGACACGCCCAGCTGGTACGACGGCTTCTTGCCCGCCTTGCCCTTCGCCTTGGGCAGATTCATCTCCAGAAAGCTCTGCAGCTCCGGGGTCAACAGCCCTGCAAGAACGAAACACACGCACCAGCACAGCCGCGCGGTACGCGCAACAGCGTGAGCTCCGTCGGCAAGACTCAGCACGAGCGCACGCCGCCACACGCAACACGCACCCGAAGGACATACCCAGTGCGCCAAGACGGTCTGTGCGGATAACACTAGCGGAGGGCGCCGCACGGAAAGGCGCGAGAACGAGGAGATGGAACGGAGAACAAAGAGCGTACCTTCAGAGACGGCGTTGCATTGCTCGAGCGCGTCTGCCGCCGAGCTGAAGGGTTTGAATGCGGAGAGATTGACGACCTGGCTGAAGCGAGTGAGATCCGCCACGGACGCTTGGACAGCGTCTGAGCTCTGCGCCAACTCGTCCAGCGCCTTGACTTCGAACAGGCCGTAGCCTGACGACGACTCGAACAACAGAAATAACGCCTGCGCATCAGAAACGACCCGCCAATGGCGCAGGACGAGAGAAACGCGCGAGACGACATCAATTCCAGAACAGTTGCAGCATGCAGACGTGCCGACACGGAAAGCACCAAGAAACGTACCATTAGCAGCAAGCAACGGCGTGATGTCTATAATCTACTACTACCGCACATTAACCCTGGAATAAACCCTTAGCCGCCTGGGACCCTAGCCTGAGCACTCTGGGGTTTGCTTGCAAAACACAGATGGCGAAGAGGCGAGGGGCAGAAAGAAAGCAGGATCGATCACCCTTGCGGACCTTGGCTGCTCTCCCAACCTCAGCTTTCAACCAGCAGAGAACACCTGCGACCTCGTGTTACATATGCATCTTCCGACTTTCATATATCCACTGGATTGCTACTGTTATGAGTTGTGAAAGGAAAGAGTGCGCAGAACTCAATAATGCGGAAGTGATTACAACTACTGAGCAAACAACGAGGTCTAGGCATAATATAGCACAGCTAGCTAGGCCGAGGTCGCGGATTCGCGCGAAGGTTGGGTGCAGGTTTGGGGTTGGGAAACCCGAAGGCGACGCGGGAGACGTTCGGAAGGCGAGGTCGTCGGACCGAGCCTTAATTCCGAAAATTGGAATCGTACGCGTAAGAGATGCCTTAGTAAGGAATTAGCGAAATTCCTTACACTACCCCACCCCCTTTAAGAAAGGTGGTCGATATCAGGCACATGTCGGCGAGAAGATACTGCCGAAGTACCGAGTGCCCTTGTAGTGAGTCAGCCGGGACCCACATGTCATCTTCGCTTGTGCGATCCACCCAGCGTAGTAGGAAGTCGACGTGGCGTCCGGCGGGGGTCGCACGAATGCGATGGTTCAATATCTTCCAAGGTTGAAGCGTCGGATCTGCCACAGGTTGGACACTTGGCGCCTGGTGGGGTCGAGCGACGTCGGACGACTGTGGTGCCACGTAGTGGCAAAGTAAACTGACGTGGAAAGCGTCGTGGATTTTCCTGTCGTCCGGTAGGAGAAGTTTCGCGGTGACCGGTGTCAGCATATGAATGATGCGAAAGGGTCCCACGTAGCGGGGACGCAGTTTTGCAGGCTGTGGCAGCTTGAGGTTTTTCGTGTCCAGGGGGACCATCTGCCCGTCACGGAAGGGTAAATTCCGTCGATGTCGGTCGGCGTAGCGGCTGGCGGCCGTGTTAGCCTTCAGGATAAATTCCGCTACTTTGTCGCGCGCTGCTTGTAGTTCCGAAACAAACTGCTGCGACCTTGGTACCGGGTAGTCGGGAGTCGTTGACGAGGGTACTACTGGATCTATCCCGTAATTCAGGTAGAACGGCGACTACTTGGTCGTTGCAGATGGGGCGTTATTGTACGCAAACTCGAGCATGGGAATGGAATCTTCCCACTTGGTAATGTCGGGGCAGTTCGTGAGAATCAACTGCTCCATTGTCTGGTTTGTACTCTCTGT